CCAGGTGTCCGCTCAGAACGCCTACCCCCCTTACATGATGCCTCCCGTGCCGCCGCCACCGCTGCCCCACCCAACCATGCCTCCCCCCGTCGCCTCTCAGTCTATGAGCTACCACCCTCCGTACTCCATGAACTACCCCCATCCTCCCCACCCTCCCTTCCCCCCTCCCACCTTCAGCCCTGGTTACACTCAGAGCCCCAGCTCATTCAAACCAGACCACAGCTTCAGGCACGCGGGGCAGTACAAGTATGAGAAGCCCATGGACAGCAGGAGGTCTCCGGACAGGGGGTACCGCCACGATGAGCACAGGCAGAAGGGCTATGGCTACGGTGGCCACGGCGATAAGCACAAGATGGAATTTCCTGGCGAGAGGAAGGACCGCGGGAGGAGTCCGGACAGGCGCGGCAGGCCAGAGGGTGGACGCTACAGGTCTGAGTACGACAGAGGCAGGACGCCCCCCAGACACCGGAGCAGGGATCGCAGCAGGTACACATCAGTAACTGTCCTGAATGAGATCAGTCTGATGCGTGAAATTATTTTTCCTTACGTGTGTGTGTGTGTGTGTGTGGTGTGTTCACAGGGAGAGGTATCGACACAGAGAAAGTCGGAGATCCCAGTCGCCCGACAGGCACAGAAAGAGGCCTCGAAGGTACCCGCACACGCACTTATTGTTTGAAGAGCTGTTGTGAAATACTAATGCCAACTAAACCTCGTGTTCAGATTATTTATTTTGGCTCTGGTTCACACCTCCTTTCTTTTTGCTTCTTTATTTGCGCATATTTCCCGTATATACTTATTACTGCTTTAAATTCAGCAAGTTTAGGATTAATCTAATGAAATCCTTTGCACTTGTTTTGTTTTTTTGTTTCTTTCCTTATCAAATGATTGCATGGTGCACAGTTTCCCTCGGGAACAAGTAAAGTACATGTTTGCGTACTTGCTGTATTTACTTTAAATGGAAATATGTAGCTTTTTGGTAAAAAAAAATCAACTTCATCAATACCACTACTTCCATACCAGAGGGAGTGTACTGTCCAAGGTTCTGTTTTACAGACTGTATAAAATACTAAACCCACTTCCTGCTCGTATGCCACCACTAGTTGTGCTTCCTTGTTCTTCGCCATTGGTGAAATATTTGAAGCACAAACACAGTCAAACTTCCGTGAGGCTGCAGGCTGCAGCTCACAAGTCTCCATCTGGGCTGACTGCGATAATTGGGGTCTTTTTTTATTTATTTAAATCTGTGCCCTGCAGTCGGTCCTCGAGCAGAGACAGGAAACGCGGTCGCTGGGAGGAGGAGAGGGACAGAAGGTCGGAGAGCTCCTCCGGCCTGAGCAGAGAGCGCAGCTACTCCTCCATCAGGAGCAGAGAGTCTGAGGAGGCCTTGGCTGACAGAGACCGTGAGCGAGAGAGGGAGCGGGAGAGGGAGCGGGAGCGGGAGCGGGAGAAGGAGAAGGAGAAAGGGGACGATGAGAAAGAGGAAGAAGAGCTGCTGAAACCTGCCTGGATCCGCTGCACGCATGCTGAGAACTACTACTCCAATGACCCCATGGACCAAGTGGTACTGTCGGTTCAGTTGTTCATTGTTTGTTCCGATATCTAATTGTTATTCTACACTTAAGCAAGAGTCCATAGCCATAAAAATGTCTTTGCCAGCTGTTTTTTTTTTCTAGGTAGATTAAACAAGAGTTGTTTTAATTCAATGCATTTAACACGGTGCCCATTAATGCCGAGCACAGACTGACTTTCCTAATCTTCTGTCTGCCATTTTATCAATTTCGGCTGGTGGTGGTGAAGAGTTGGATTACCTGCTCTCCAATGCTGAATGTTTTTCGAGCCTTTCACTTAATGGCGAGCACTCAGAAGACGCCTCAGTCGGCCCTTTGCAAATCACCACCTGCCCTCTCAGACGCTTTTTAAAAGTCTTTGGATCTTTTGGATGATGCCAACTGCTGTTTCTTTGCTCCAACCCTGACCTTTAGCGCTAGACTCTGAACGCTTGCTTTTTTGACACAAATCACACATTCTGCCCATGACCCGACCTGTCTTTCAATAAAACAAAAGTGAACTTAAATGTCAAGATGGAGCTTAACTTTATTTCTTCAGTTCTTGCTCCTTCACGAAACACATTTAGTACTGCTGTGTCTGTCTTTCCTGCTGCGACAGTGAGGACGATACCTTTCGGACTTTGGCAGATAGATGGGTGTGATCACATAACCTCTGATCCGTGGGAACGGTGTGTAGGATTTAGTGGCATCTAGCGGTCAAGTTGCAGATTGCGACAATTTGAATACAGCTCAGCCTTCCAAGCGTGTTGGAGAAACAGCTGCGGCCACAAAACGTATTAATACCCATTATCTAGAGCCGGTGTTTGGTTCTTTCTGGGCTACTGCAGGAACACGGCAGTTTAACATTAACAAAACGTCTCATTCTGAGGTAGCACAAATACAACGATATCTTATTTTTAGCTGATTTTACCCTAATGGAAACGTATGCGTATTATAATCAACTTATGCCAATAGAGCTTCCTAAATGTTACACACTGGGCCTTTTATCCTCCTAAACCATGCAACGATGTAATTATCGATAAAGAGCGGCGGTTGGTGTGCACATGATAAAGACGGGCCATTTTTTATCTTTCAAAAAACAAACAAACAGCTGCACTGTGGTATCACTAAGGCCATTCATCTGTACATCTGTTCTATTTGACATTTAAGAATCTGTCACAGACGGTCATGCGCTTTATTTGAATTTGTTCAGGGAGACTCTACTGTGGTGGGGACCAGTAAGCTGCGGGACCTGTACGAGCGCTTTGAGGAAGAGCTGGGGAGGAGACAGGAGAGAGCTAAGGCCGCTCGACCGAAATGGGACCCGCCAAAGACCAAACTGGACGAGGACCCAGGTGGGTAGACCTGCAGAGTCTAGTTTCGTATAATCACGTGGGAACATTGTTGATATGCAAAAAGTGCTGTTGCACAGTTTAGCTGGCGAATAATAGCTCTTTGTACAATGTCTGTAAATAAGCCTGTAAGCATGTAAGGACAACAGCTAAATAACAATACAAACAGTTCATACATCTGTTGACAATCTTTTGTAATTGATATGCATACAAACTTGCTGTCTTCTCAGCAGTGCATTAGGCTGAGGCAGAGATTAAGTTCAGTGTTTATGATGTTATCTGCAGGGCTGTCAGCCTGATTGTGTCTTTCAGCACTGCAATAACATAAATCTCGCTCAGGGAGATCTAATTTGCTAAATATGTTGCTCCGGGCACTGACTTCACAATCACGCACTCGAGCTAAAGCGCTGATAAGAATTGAAGACTTTGCTTAGCTAAGAACCACAAACTATTCAGCTGACTGCTAATTAAAATCCTCGTTTTGGTGCGGGCTTTTCCTTATAGTAAGTTTCAACTGTGAGGTGAAATAAAGAAAACACGAGTGCCAGATGTCAACATTGGCAACTGTGCTGCTCCTTTTAATCTCATAGACGCATTCAAGTCTGCAGTTGGCTTGAGAAATTAGGTTGCCGATCTGAAACGTTTCTGTATCACCAGCATTGTGTGGATAATTATTCCTATATAATAGCTGGCACAGCCAGAGCGCACACAGTTTGGACTCTTTTTGACAGATTGCTTTACTGAGACTTTATGCTGTATAAGACGTTGTGGGGGCACAGCTGAGCAGGGGAGCTTAACCACTCCACCAGCTCCGGCTCACCGAATTATGTCTCCGTCTCCAACATTACGACGTTCTAATGATTAAAGACCTTTTTGCACTTTCAGACGACAGCAGTAGTGAGTCAGACTGTGAGTCAGATGGTGAAGGAAGCACCTGCTCCAGCAGCTCTGACTCAGAGGTTTTTGATGTCATTGCTGAGATCAAGAGAAAGAAAGCTCACCCCGACCGCCTGCATGAGGAGCTGTGGTACAACGACCCAGGGCAGGTGGGTCTCGCTCTCTGCTCTAACATTTATTATGTTACGAAACCAAATTCCATTTTTGTTTTATCTCCTGCATCAGTTTCCTGTGATCCTATACAGGTCTGACAAATGATTCAAAGTTAGAGAACAGATTCTTCCAAAACCATTCCTGAAGCAGTTTGATGGTATACTGTGCATGAGGGAATGACAGGGCAACTCATGGCATGATATTTCCACATGACAACCTAGTATAGGCCAGTGGTAGACAAACAGCAGCATGCAGATGTCTGCTGAAATCTTCCCTTTCATACGCTACACCAAAACTCTTGCAAGATTTTGCACATCATTAAGAGATAACAGTAGATGGCAGTGTATAATAGTGTTACTACAATGCTGTAAATCCTAACAAATACGACCTTTTAACATGCTAAACTGTGCATGGTGCTCCAATGAAGTCTAATAAACGCAAATAAATGATACAATCCACTTCAGCTAAATGAAACAGGATTCAAACAGGATTTCCAAGGCAACGACAGTCCTTTCATTCAACCATCACTGAAGCAGGACACTTTTTATTTAGCGTGGAGTCATTTGTCATTTGCCCTCTGTTAGCCCTAACCTACTAAAGGGGGAACTAATATCTGCCGTTGGTTTAAAACTCAGTCAATTTTTATCATAAATTAATTTTAAAAACTGAACAGACAATACATAATACACTGCAACTTCAGCTTACTTCGTTTCAGGTTATTTAGAAACAAGGTCTCCATTACATAGTTTGTCCACCAGAGAGCACTGACATTTATTTTTAAGTGAGTAAAAAGTATAAGTTATTGTTGTCCTACACACAGTATATTCATGAAATTCTGTTTGTTTTTACTGTATTTTATAGAAAATGTGATTAAACAATAAGAACATGAACCTAAAGCAACATGGAGGGAAGCCCCTTTGCCACTTATAACAAGGGAACATGTTGGGCTTTTGGTGCCAGTGTCTATCAGTGTATATCTATAATATAGATATGTATATGATGATATCATACTTTTATAAAGTTTTTCCCTGCTCTGAATGCAATTGCAAAATTAATTTACTGAGAGCACCAAGATAAGGGAGGTTTTGAAATCATTGTACTAAATATTGGAAATCACTCGCTTCAGTAGACGAGGCAGTTTGGGGTCCGACTATGTAATTGGAAAAGTGCTCGAAGGTTATTGAAGGGTTTGTTTTTCCTTTTAAAATTAAGGTAATTTCCAACTAGTGAAATGTTTGGTAAATGCATGAAAAGTCTTTCTGTCAGAGTTTGCCTTCACTGTCACATAGGACAACTGAAAACCCCCAAACTCCAGTGAAGGAGTAAAGGTCAGGAGTATGCAGTTTTGAAATGTAAAATGTAGCAGCGTGCTATACATGGCAAGTGAAGCAGTTGTGTCTGATTTACGTATTTTCTTTCTGTCCAGATGAATGATGGTCCCTTGTGTAAGTGCAGTGCCAAGGCCAGACGTACAGGGATCCGCCACAGCATCTACCCGGGGGAGGAAGTATGACACGTCGTGAATAAATCACCCTTTCATAACCTTGCGCACAGGGCCAAGGACATTATTCTACTCGGCCTAAATGTATTCTCTGTACAGTGGCCGTTTTCCATTGTATTAAAGGGAAAATGAGGTTTTATCATCCTAAAGAACCTAATGATGATATTACATCTGTAAGAATCTGACAGGGGAGTTGAACTATACCACTGACTCATCGATTATGTTACCAGGTGCTGAGATTTCTGGCCTTCCCACATGGATGCATCTTCAACTGATCAGATCTCAGATGTATTTCATTATCATTGAATTGATTATCGCTGCATCAAAATGTAAAGTCAGTCAGTGTTGTTTTCCTTTCGGTAGTCCATAGGGATCAATGAAGGTCATGCATGACTTAATGAGTGTGTATTTTTCATGGAGGTAAATTCCGTCCCCAGACTAATGCTGTTGTCTGTGGTATATTTCTGTGGTACCAGCCACTTTGCAGGCATTTATACGTCACGTGAAGGTCGGAAATGAACAGGGCTCGCACCTTCGTTAGTCGATTAGTTGACTAATTGCTTGTTACGGTCTTGGTTGACCTGGAAATTGTTAGTCAATTAGTTGTTTTTAATGACTTTATAGAGTGTATAGGACGTGTGACTGTATTCATTAAAACAATGTCAATTAAGTTTTTAGTAGTCATCAGGCGTTAATAGAAATTGTTGGTTAGATCTCTGTTATCCCAATCATTTTCCAAATATATTTTGGTCTTAATAAGATTCTACACAGGGACAATAATTCTGGAGAAATGCTTTAATTTCTCATTAACTTTTTACTGTTTAGTGGAGGAAATCCTTTGACTCGTAGTGAATAATACATTCCTTTAGCTGGGGACAATCCTAAAAATGAGAGGGAAAAAAGTGAGTTTCCAATTTATATCTCTTCCGCTTTACCTCAGGTGTAACCATTACAGTGTCAGACCACAGCACAAATGCTCTGACGTGGATAATATACATGTTAGTAATTGCCTCTATGTGTCTATTTCAGTCTGTGAAACAGTGTCGTCCAATGAACAACAATGCTGGAAAACAGTTCCACTACAGGATCACTGTGTCTCCTCCCACCAACTTCCTGGTATGACTGTGTCTCTTTTGTCGAGACCCTGAAAGGAGAAAAGTTTCATTTATTAAAAGGCTAAAGTGAATAACTTTATACAGAAGAATGTGTATTATATTGCAGAGTATATGGTGTAAAGACTGTATCTTTATTACATTTTTCTGCCGTGTCACAGCAGTGTATTTTCGCAGCTTTGTACCTAAGCTGCTGCGTATAGTGCCGGGCTGTGTTTGAGTGGTCCTGCTGTTTTCCTGTTTCAGACTGACAGGCCGACGGTGATTGAGTACGATGACCATGAGTACCTGTTTGAAGGCTTCTCCCTTTTCTCCCACACACCACTCACTAACGTAAGCCTGCTTTGAATTGTTAACCGCCAAGGCGATAAGCCGTGAATTTTCCACCGCGAGATGTTTGACAGTGTATGTCACTGTACGGCAACCCCTTTTGCTATGCCTGTTTTTTATATTTTATGTCATCTTTATTATTTATTTCCTTTGAGTTTCTTTCATATTGTGTGTTTGGGGCCAGATGTCACACTGACTTTTCTCGGCTATGTTTTTCAAAGAGTCAATTTAAACCTCACTCAGGTGAAATGAAAAAGTTGCTTCCAACTTTTATATAAGCTTCTAAATCGCAGACAGTTCACCTTCAGGAAGTTATTTCTTATTAAACACATGTGTTCTACATAAAGCAAGCTTTGTACTGTTTCACTAAGGCTATATTCACACTGCGCAGCAAAGGGTTAATGTGTGTAACCTCAGCGCGAACGATCAGATCTGAATTCACACCACTTTAATGTCACTCTCAATCAACATTCATCTCTCCATGAATACAAACATGGAATAGAGCTGTGAGGTATTCAGTGAAGGGGCAGAGAAGTGTTGGACTAGTATTCGGGGTGACATCCACACACATACCTCCGTACAGAAGTAGCAGCCGTTGCTCCACAAAAAGCCTAGTAAAAATGTGTCTCGTTCTCATTATCATCTTCAGCTTCCAATAATCAGCTTATAAAATGAAACGGTAACCTTGCACGTGCGTTGTTCAGGATTCTGACCAGTTCACTCTGGAATCTGATATTAGGCACATTTAAAAAATAATATGAACAGCCAAGCAAAAAATCAGATCCGAGCAATAAATCAGAATTGAGCGCTAAGCCTTGCAGCGTGAATGTAGGCTCATTTCACTAATTCATTTTCAGATTTCTCTAAAATTTGTCATGCTTCATAAAGTGAGTCTCATCATAATGACTCGAAGAATATACAAAAGAAGTTATTTCAGTACAGTTTTTGTTTTCATGTGTGCTTTTAACACAATGTGTCACATGGCTATATGTTATCACATCATAAAAATGTTCTTATTAAGGTACTAGTTTCAGCTTTATAGCCCAGGCGTATTCCACCCACATCTGCTGTGAATTCTTTCTGCTGTATAAAGCAGCCAGGTCCACGATTTTATAACCTCTCTCCATCCACTCATATGGCCGCTGCTCAGCCAGCTCCGTGTTGGCCACACATGATCCCCATCCTCCTCTTACATGTCCGTTCAGGCAACACATATAATTTAGGTCAGCGTGTGAGTGAAAAATCCCTTTCTCCTTTAACTCCACTCTCCTCAAAAATAACTTCAAATCGGCTTTTGGCTTCGGGTCGGCTTCTTTGTTGCCCCGGACAAAGTGCTTCTCTCTCACAGCGCTGACCTTGTCGCAGAGTCCTCTCCCTCACTTTTGAAGGCCCATCAGTGACTGTCAAACATTAGAGAGGTCGTGACTTAAAAGGACCCTCTCTCTCTTGCCATTTGAGCTGTGTGCCTGACTTTTATCCCAAGGAAGAAGTTTAAAGGGAAGTAGAAATCAATAGGGGACCACCAAACCCCTATTTCTTGAAAATAGGGGTTTGAAAATTTGTTCAAAGTGGGACTATTTCTGTGTCTAGATACACGTATGTGCTCGTGTCCGCTAGTGTCTGCGCGTGTGTGTTTTTTCCTGCATGTTTGAATAATAAACTACTTGGTCAATATCCGTCTAGCTTGAAAAGAGCCCAGAGGATTAGGCGTGATTTGAACTGGATAATTTAAGCAGCCCTTGTTAAAAGCTGGGGTAAACGCTTTGTGGCAGCGTGGGGATTAGGAACCTCGGAGCGTGGTGATATTAGCCCCCTGCTAGTTAGCCGCCGGGATGGGCAAGAATAAATGTGACTCCCAGGTTAATCTCTTAAAATGGACCCCCACGCTTTAACAACAAAGACCGTGTAACTAGGGAGATTAAACTCAGAAGAGCAGGCTTATCTATTTAGTGAGATTTGAGTTAGTTAATTTTCAAGTGTGTGTGCGTGGAGGCATGCGATTTGTGTGAGTGAGTGTTTGTACAAGTCAGGGTTTTTCTAAATGACCAAAGGTTGTGCATGTTTAAACACTTCACAGCGCGTTACAGTGCGATTCCTTGAGCGTACATTACTTCTTTAGTTTCATTGCGTGTGCTTGTGTGTGTCCACCATTTTGGGTGAGCTGCACCACAGCAGAGATGAGTTTTTAATGAGTTTCCCTGAAAAGCTGTAACCTCTGCCTAACGCCATGGTAATGAGTCGGCCTGTCCTTTCTTCTTCTCGTCCTCTGTTCCTTTCATCATCACAGATCCCATTGTGCCGTGTGATCCGCTTCAACATAGATTACACCATTCACTTCATAGAGGAGATGACACCGGAGGTCGGTAAAACCCCACTTTATCTCCCAGCTCTTTCTCTCCCCTTTCTCACCCCTTTTTGTTTTTATCTCAAACGGCTGAGTCTGAGTGCAGCTGAGCCACATGTAACCCTCACACCTCAGTGCCTGGGTGAGCGAAGGTGCTAATCCTTGCAGAAGAGGGAAAAGAGATTTTTTGTAACCTGTAGAGGTTGATTACACTGATAAGGTGGCTTATGTGATAAAGTTAGAGACCTGGATTTACTTATCAGTCATATCTCTACATTAAGATACTCTTTATGGCAGTATTACAGCTTTTTTTTTTTTGGCTGCGTATACTGTATGTACTCAGTATAAACTCCCACAACATTGCTATCAAACACCATCTCTCTTCCGTGTGCAGAATTACTGTGTCCGAGGCCTGGAGCTGTTCGCCGCCTACTTGTTCAAGGACATCCTTGAGCTGTATGACTGGAACTTGACAGGTACCACTCCCAAACCAAGGGCCGTTTCCCAAAAGGGATTGTCGCTTGCAAATTGAAATGAGCAAGAGGAAATAATCTTAATCAAATTGTAGCTCGTATGTTGCAGAAATGATGTAACTGTTGGTAGACGTATATATTTTTAAAATGGCTATAGTGGCAGCTAAACAGATACATAGTTGTGTGACTAAGTAACCTTTACCCTTAAGTAATATGTGGCCTTTCAAAATAATGTTACCATTGTCAGAGGCTATGCCATTCATTACATTCTCATTCTTTTTAGAAATAGGTTGAGATGTGATCTGATAGTGTTATAAATTAAAATAACAGTATTACATATTTATTAAACTGGCACAATTTGTAGCACAGTCACATTCAGTATTCCACTATAATATAACTGTCTGGAGTAATAATTAGTTGAATTGTGTGCAGAAAGCATCTGAGGTTTCGCCTCGGAGGCAGAACTGGCTGACATGTAATGATGATATTTTGAATTTAACCTCTACAGTCATCATACATAATCATAGAATATTTACAGTAGTGAACATTTTATTTCACTTTTATAGTTTGAGATACGATTTGAGATTAAGAAAATACATTAAGTATTATTTAATGTATTATTATTGATTGATAATTGAGATTAAACTGTCAACCAGAAAAACTGTGATCACTTCAATCATAACTCTACACTGCAAATCCTGAAATTGTGTGAAAAGCTTGCTAGATTTAAGAAGAATAGAAGAATAGAAGAAAAACAAAACAACCCTCTCTGCTCTTTCCTCCAGGTCCTGAGTTTGACAATGATTCCCCTGGATGCCAGCAGTTCCATTTCATGCCCCGTTTTGTCCGATTCTTACCTGGTAAGACTCTTAACAACCTACAAAGAACCTGCACTGCTTTCATTTGCCGTTTGTCTCCCTCTGGTGGTCACTGGTGACACAGTTCTCATATTGAAATGTGCTACAGAAAGGAAAAAGGAGCTGCATGTCTCCAGTAATGTCTGCTCCAAACATCTCTGCATACACGGGCTTCTGCATTGTGTGTCGGTGTTTGCGGTACGTTCTCTGCAAAATGACACACAGCGCCTGAGCTGCGCTGATGATGATATTCATCTTCGATACACATGATGGTGCTGGTGCACCATGATATCGCCTCAGTGTTTGCTATGACAACCATGCCACCTACCTTCTTTCCATCAAAAAACAATTTCTCTCCTAGCTCTCCCAATTTAGGCGCTACAAACACTTATCTGCCTCTGTTACAAAAGCAAAAAAAAAAAAGAAAACTGTCCAATGCAATGTTTCTGATGTGATCTGTCAAGAGACAGGGAGTTACAGGGAGAGTGTGATGATGCTGTATTTGAAAGTTACAGTGAGTGTGTGGGTATGCATTTGTTACTGTCTTAATGCATTCCCAGAACTCAGAGGGCAGCAGATTTTTGTGCGTCGGTCCATGTGAACACTCATAAATGGAGGTCAATACATTTTGAGTGTACCGGCTCTATTTGACATGGTAGATTGCATGCTGTATCGCTCTCATTTCTGACTTTTGTAATACATATCTGAATGTCATTCCATGCACGTGTCATTATGTGCCTGCACGTATTGTAAGGCATCCAACCTCACCTCAGTGCCTCTGTTCACCTGTGTGTTTCCCGAACAATGCGATTGCGATGCATGGGGACATTTTTCACAGTATGCATTATTGGTTCAAAAGCTGAGAGCTGGCAGAGGTGAGGCGGGGTGAGATGCGTGTATAAAAACAAAGATTTTCTACCAACATCGGCCTTGATTTTGGGCCAAGAGTTTTGAACGGCGAAAGAATACATTGTATGAAAGCTTGGTGAAATGTTTTCCCTTGTGGAAAATGTCACAGCTTGTTTAATTCCACAAACGGTAGCTACAAAAGACTGTGATTTTTGCATTTTTTTTTAATTAACTGCGAATCCCTGGTGAACTGTGTACCTTGTGGTGGTGTATTTATGCTTCTGTCCACACATGCATTTATTCCTGGTGTGCTTTTATGTTCATTAATTGTCTCAGATGGCGGAAAAGAGGTGCTGTCCATGCATCAGGTGTTGCTCTACCTGCTGCGCAGCAGCAAGCCCTTGGTCCCCGAGGAGGAGATTGCAGACATGCTGCAGTGGGAGGAGCTGGAGTGGCAGAAATACGCGGAGGAGTGCAAGGGCATGATCGTCACCAACCCAGGCATGGTGAGGCCTCAGTTTCACTGTTAACGACAGGAGGTGGCCTTGTCTGCTCTTTCAAGGGCAGTCGTCGCCCCCAACCCCGACACTCCAGGAATAAGGCTGTTCCTGTTAGGCTGTGACATGAGCAACCTCACCTATTATCCCCAAGGGCGTTCGCTGTCATCAACACTATTTGGGCCGAAGCGTTTATGTCACGATGAAGTTGGTTAACCTTCTTGTCTGGCCCATATTTTAAAGGATGTACAGTAATTGTGTCTGGGTAAAGGTGAAGATGTCATTGCTAGCTAAAAGGTTGCATATGAACAGTGAATATGATTGTGTAACCTTTGGCGTGGGTGAGTTATTGAGTCAACTGCTCTTGCTGGCAGGACTGAATTGTTGCTGTCAGGTTTTCTAGATAGGTGGGTGTATAATAGTCTTCTATCCCTACACCAAAGTTAAAGATTGGTCTGCCAGTCAAACAAAGTCTATTAAAAAGGTCATATATATATATATATATAGTTTAGCGAAAATGGAACTATCTGGGGGCAATGGTCAACAATGGTTATTTTCCTTGTCACTCCCAGGTTTTTTTTCGATTGAGTTTGGTGGTTGGTTTAAGTTGTTATTTCATAATGATTTCACCTAAAACACAAATATGTGTTTTATGGATTCATCTGTAAATTCTTTTTTCAATTAGGCCATTTAATCAGTCAGAAATGTAAGAAAATGGTAAGAAATATTTCTAAAAATACCCATCCAATAGTCCTAAACCCAAAGATATTCCATTTACAGTGATATTAAACAGAGAAAAGCTGTAAAATCTCACATTCGAATACCTTGAACGAGTAATTTTCACTTCATAAACAATAGAAACGATTGACTTATCAGAATACTTTCTGATTCATTTGTTAATTAAAAACCCAGTTAATAGTAACCAAAACCATTCAATTTGGTAAAGAAATTCTTAGTGGTATGGAATTTAAAAATTCAATACTATGTATACATCAATAAAATGTCCTTTCAGAGCTAGGTGGGCCAACTCCTTCCATGCATGCTCTGATTTGTGGGAATCGTTCCCACGGTGAAATGTCAAGGTCACACATACTGCTTGAAATGAAGGGGTCCGACGCCAATCAAACATCCCATGCTCAAATGATTATTTCCCACAGTGGCACGGTAGACAAATGAGAGCACAGATGTCATCGACCCTGGTGCATTAACGCATATGTACAGAAGCAGTATATATATAATTTAGCATATTCAATGTGTTTGTGTCTGCATTGTAAACAGGGCAATCATCAAGCCTTCCATCAAGCCAATCAAACCTGATTATGTCGCTTTGAAGGCTAAATCAAAGTTGCCTGGCGACCTCTTGCTCTCATATTTAAAGTTTGTATGCAGGCCGTGACGAGTGAGCGCGGCTAATGTCAAGGTGAGCCCGAGCCTCGAGCCATCTGCCGTGCAGCTCATCACGCCTTATGCTACAGCTCCTTCCTCTGATCTCGCAAAATGCCTGACAGGCTAACTGCGATTTGGGAGTCAGCGGAGGACATGTTGCTTGTCAATCTCCTCCCTGATAAGAGTATCAGAAGTTAGCTCGCCATCCCTGACATCACTGTATCATTGTTGCACGCACGCTACAAGCCAAATCTGAGCGTCATCTCATTACGTTCCTGTGACAGACGACCCTTATGGCGTGGATTATTTGATATTTCCCATGTTTATAGCAGATGATGGAATGATGGCTGCCTTGTGGCTACAGGAATGTGTTTATCCTGCAACGTGACTCACTGTACTGACCTCTTTTCCCCTAGAAACCGAGCTCGGTGCGTATCGACCAACTGGACAGGGAGCAGTTCAACCCAGACGTCATCACCTTTCCCATCATCGTTCATTTTGGGATCCGGCCTGCTCAGCTCAGCTACGCCGGCGACCCTCAGTAAGCTCACACATGCTCGCAGACACACACACGCGCGCGTAAATGTCGACCACCCATCAGAGTACAGATCTTTTCCCCCCACCCACTGTGTGTTGTCTCCCTTGTTCCCTCAAACCTTATTCACCGGCGCTCTCCCAGGACACTGTGACGGCAGAATCTGTCGCGTCGCATGTCGACTAGGACGAGAATGGCGTGTGTCAAAGAGGAGGGGAGAAATGAAAATATGTGGACTAGAAGGATGGGGAGACGAGTGGCGTGACATTTTCACATGCATCATCACGGGTCCCAGGTTTCCGCTGGGTGCCTCCGCCGTGGGAGCCGCCACGGTTTACGTCTCGTGAATAGTAATGCCACACACAGACGCCACAGGGCTGCAGTGGGGAATACTGTACTGTGCTGCTGCATAATTAACAAAAGCAGTGTATTAGATCATCTGAGCTGCGGTCTCTGAGGTGTTCGGAGAGATGCGACAAGCACCAATCAAAAGTCAGCGCACAACTTGGTCTCTGTGCTCGCCTTCTAAATTTAAACCTGTGGATTTCTATTTCAACTCAAATATCTGCTATCACTCACAACAGTCAGGAGGAGTTGCAGGAGGAAAACGCCGACGATGAAGACGCAAACAAGAGGATGATCATTAGGAAATCCATTTAGGCAGAACTAGTTTGCTTCTTCCCTCTGACTAATGTCCCCTCTCCCCTGCCGCTACATTTTAGCCGCCTGTCCGCTGAGCTCTTTCATCCCCGTGCACCCTGCTGCCATGTCAAACTTCTCAAAGCGACAGACAACGACAAATTTATGGATGGACTGGGACATCATTAGCTGATGCAGGAACGAGTAGTAAGAGACCAGTGGAAAGGATTTCCTACCACTGCTAATGATGCGTGTAGCGAGGGCAGGAGTCGGTGTTGATTGCGGCGGCGGCAATGCCGCAGAGAGGGAGCCTTGGACACAGCAGCAGCATATATTAACTCAGGAGACTGAAGAAGCTGTGTTCGTCTTCTCCCTTTCACACTGCCCACTGGACGCATTTGTGTTCAGGGCCGCCACTCGAGCTTCTCTAGCTCCATTCCGACCGTTGAGGCCAGCATAATGACATGTCAGAGGTCAGGGAATGTAAAGAAAAGAGAGCAAGAAGGAACAGGACAGACAACGCCTCGAAGAGATGGATGAAACACAATAGAAACATGATGGAAGGATAGAGGGAGGGGGAGAAACTAATATGAATGGCATGCAGAAACAAGAAGTCAAAACAAAATCTAGAGGAATCTAAGAGACGAAGAGGAGACAGAAGCCCCTTTCAGACATAGATTTGCTGTCGGTGTCGTTGAGTGAGCCACAGAGTGTCTTTTCTGTAGAAGTCGTGATGGCAATCTTGCAGGGTAGGACCAAGTAACATTCCTGTAGACCCACAATCTGGCTCAAGTTTAAATTGAATGCCGTCACATTTACGCCTCAGTGACACACGTGTGGATTCAGAGTGCCGGGGTCTCTCTTGTCTCTCATGAGAGTGAAGTTGAGCACATAATTTACTCAGCTCAGATTGGGCTGTTTTTTTTTTCTCTCCTGACATTGCCACTCTACTGGCGCACAGTGAAGTAGTTCATTTCCGGAGCGCTGTTTTTCCATGTATCATTTTTATTTTTTAAGCCCCGGTAGCTTGTAAATGCTACGTTGTCCCTGTTTTCCTCACATACTCGACAGGAGTAGAAAACAACTATGCGCCTTTTGTTTCATGAGGCAAGAAAAATCGAAAATGATTGGCTGCCATTAGGTTGTCTCTCCCTGCATCAGGGGACATTTGCGTTAAGTTAAACCTTTTTGAACTTCTCCACTTCATGCTGCTGGGCACCTTTTTCTCTTCCCCGTGCAGAAACACAGAACAATCATCAGACCATCAGTTTCCCTAAATTGTTCGCTTTTCTAATATTTACGTGATCAGTGTCCAGCAAAAATTCTTCACACGTGAGCAAATAGGAATTTTTAACCATACTCGAGGTAGCAGAAGTATAGTACAGTATAGTAGTTCTATCTGTAATGGTCCTGTCATGTTTGAATAGAGCCATTACAGAACATTTACGTAACACATACGTATGTAAAAAGCCATTACTTTAGCAGATAGACGAAGCCAGCAGTGCTGCAGATACGGTGGCTGAAAGGGGCTAGAGATAGGAAACAGGAGAGAAAGAAAGTGGCAGCATATGCTAATGAAAGCATGTGCAGGGAGTGGCGAGGGCCGCGGCAGTGCTACCCTGAGAGCACACAGCGGATCTGTGGAAAGGTCATTGGAGCGGATTGGGGACGAAGGGGCCTCCCAGGCTGGATAGACACTCTCTCTGTCTCTCTCTGTC